ACCGGTGGTCGCTGGGCTGGTGGGGCTGGGGCCGACTGGGGGGGCGCACCTGTCAGAGAGAGAGGTCAAGGGTCAGAGGCCACATGCCCGGCAGGATGGGAGGGAGCTGTGCGGGGATCAAAGGTCACATTCCCGGTTGCCTGGGCGAGCTGTAGGGGTGATCGGGGGACAGGGGTCATGGTCCCTGCAGCACAGGAAAGCTGTGAGGGGGAGTCATAAATCATGTTCCCTCCAATCTGTGAGGGAGCTGTGGGGGGTCAGCACAGAGAGTCACAGGAGAACCAGGTATCAAAGGTCACACATCCTGCTGCAGGGGGGCTGTGGGCAAATCATGGTCAAGAGCAGGTGGATTAGGGCTCAGAGGTCAGCTCCTCTGCAACATAGGTGGGCGGGGTCATAGCCAGGGTCAGAGTTCACACGTCAGGGATCATGTCCCCTGCAGCATACCAGGGTTATATAGCGAAAGTGGGGGAAATCACTGGTCAGGGTTTATGCCACCTGCTGCCAGGGGGAAGAGGTCAGAGGGCAGGGGTCACAGACTCTGTAGCTGTTACAGGGGAGGCTTGGCAGGCTGGGTAGCAGGTCTGAAGGGTTCAATGAGGAAAGGGGTTAGAGGTTGGGGGTCAGGGGTCACTCACCCTGTGGTGGTGGGCGCTGCTGCTGTGGCGGGGGGGCGCGCCCGGGGCCCGGGCGGGACCGGGATGTCAGTGTGGGGAAGTTAAGCCCCCCCCTGAGACTCCACCCCGCCGACTCTGTCCACCAGGACCCTGCCCCTTGAGAACCTGCTCCCCATTGGATGTCCAACTTGCACTGTAGCAGGGGGAGGGGGTTAATCTGGATTAAGATCAAGCACTGTGTGGTCACACTGAGCTCTTAATCCAGGCCCCAAAAGCAATTGAGGGGAGGGCCCGCCCAAAACCAGATTAAAGACCACACCAAATTCTTAATTCAGGTGAGGGTCACGCTGTCTGCACACATGGGGAGGAATAGGGGCCTAAATCCAGATTACGGTCAGGAGTAGTCTGGGTGCACAGGGTGGCTGGACAAAGTTAGGGTTAAACCAGGTGAAATCTGGAGGCCAAGGGAAGGTTGGGGGCAACTCAGGGAGCCTCCTTGGGCAGGGTGGGAATGGGGCTGGGAGTTCTCTCCTTTATACACAGTTGCCTTAATCTGGATTAAAATGTGCAGACACATGGATGAGTAAAACTGCATTAAACTGAGTTAAATTGTGGGGGATGGGAGAGGCCTGGGAGCACCTCAGGGGATCTTCTTGGATGGGGTTGTGACTGAGGGACCCCCTGTTTATATAACAGAGTTAATCTGGATTAATCCTTCTGGACACACAGGCCAGATGAACCATGTTAGAATTAATCTGCATTAAATCCAGTGAATGAGGGAAGACAGAGGGCACTTCAGGGGACCTGCCCAGATGGGACTCGGGCTGGGGGGTCTCCACGGATGGGGGGATTCCAGGGGTGACTGGGGGACCTCCTGTTTACATGGCCTTCTGGACACAGAGACCAGATAAACCAGATTAGGATTAATCTGCTTTAAATCCAGTGGACCGGGGAAGACTGGGGGCACCTCAGGGGACCTCCCTGGGTGGGGTTGAAGGTGGAAGACCCCCATTTACACAATAGACTTCATCCAGATTACACCTTGAAAACATTGCTTCATAGTTGATAGGGTCAGAAGGGACCTGAGCAGATCATCAAGATCAAGTCTGACCCCCAAAGCAGGGGTTTGGGTACACACCCAGCCTTGAACTCTCAACATTTTGGGCCAAGTTTGAGCACCTACACCACTAGGGCAGCTAGTAAGGTCAACATACAGTGATCCCCTCCACTCTAACAAGAACTCTTCCCCTGCCACTTCACTCACCCTGCTTGACCCAGCCAGGACTTGAACTCAGATCTCCCACCTAGTAGACAGAAACTTACCAGACAGACACAACTGCTATAAAACCCCCTTCTTTCACAGGATTCACACCTCATCTTTCCCTCCCTGTCCTGCCCCCCCAGCCTCCATCCCTGCTTTCCCCCACTTGCCTCCACACAACACAGCACAGCCTCCTTGTGTGCACCTAGCCACAGGCAGCAGGGACTCACTGAGGAGCAAGGGGCCAGAGAGGAAAGCTAACAATGAGAGGCCAGCACCAGAACCCAGCACCTCAGCACCCAGACTGAGAGGTAGGGACAATCTTGGGGATAGCTCTATCAAGCCTTCAGTCAGTGCAGATGTAGTTAGGGATCTTCTGGATGGGCTAGACATTTTTAAATCTGCAGGTCCAGATGCCCTCCACCCAAGGGTGTTGAGGGAGCTGGCAGGGGTCATCGCAGAGCCCTTGGCCCGGCTGTATGAGCATTTGTGATCATCTGGCCAGGGGATTGGAAACTGGCTAATGTGGTCCCTATTTTTAAGAAGGGGTGTAAGGAGGACCCAAGTAATTATAGGCCTGTAAGCCTCACCTCAGTGCTCGGGAAGCTCTTGGAGAGAATCATCAAGGAGCACAGCTGTGGGGGGCCTGCAGGGGAGATCATGCTCAGGACAATCAGCATGGGTTCACCAAAGGAAGGTCCCGCCAGACCAACCTGATTGCCTTTTACGACCAAGTAACTAAATCCTTGGATGATGGTGTTGCTGTGGACATAGTCTTTCTAGACTTTAAGGCCTTTGACACTGTCTCTCACCCCATCCTCATCAATAAATTAAGTGACTGCGGCATTGATGCCTGCACAGTTGGATGGGTAAAAAATTGGCTGATGGGGCACACCCAGAGAATAGTGGTGGACAGGTTGTACTCAACCTGGTGAGATGTGAGCAGTGGGGTACCCCAGGGCTCGGTCCTTGGGCCCACACTGTTTAACATCTTCATCAGCGACTTGGACGAGGGGGTGAAAAGCACGCTGTCCAAGT